CAGGATCTCAGGGGGCCTAGACCTTCTCCGTGGGTCTCAAAAAGCCCCGAATGAGGTCTTACATGGTAACTTATAGGAAACAGTGATTAATTGCCAGGGGTAACAGATTTACATAACAACAGGTAGTTCCTCTCAGGTTAACAGATTTTCAAAAGGCTTCTACAGATCCTTTAACTAATTCTATCTACGTGAACAAATGGTTATAAAATCTTTCAAAAGTTAACTTCTAAGTTCTAAGGTAAATTTATCACTTAACAGGGGTTAAACAATATGTTGGCTCCATATTTATTAGGTTATTGTGAATGGAGACAGGTAGTCTAGAGTGTTTAAACAAGAGCTTTGCTTTTAGCCATTCATGCAGCTGTCTGTTGGGAGGGTGGGGCACTCCATTGTCAGCTCTCATCCTGTAGTTTTTAACAGATTTGCTTTGCTTTACAAAACAAATCCAAACCTTTGGGTCTGAGAAATGCAGTGCCTTCTGGGATACAGCCACTACTGTCTTTCAGAGACCCCCTTCCGAGTGTAACAGCACTTGAAATGCAAACCAAACACGTTCACATATTCCTTCAGGGCAAAGCTCTGCAAAACTCCTAAGACAAATCCTGTCTGCAAACATGTTTATATTAATTCATGGAGCAACAGTGTTTGACTGTGTTTTTAAAAAAAGAGAAAGGACACTTCAGATGTAAGTGTAGTAGCAGAAGTCATAGGGCAAAAACTACAATAAGAACAATATGTGTGCTTCAACCATAACTTGTATTGATGTACCGTAAAAGATTTCGTTGGTCAGGTACCATGTCAAATATGCAAAGCCATATATTCTGAGCTAAAGAATTTACAGCTGTTCTGATTAGAGAACTCAGTGTGTGCTAAATATTGCCTGTTGATAGTCCACACCCTCCCCGTCTTTTAATCCTTTCCCTGTATGGCAAGAACTAGGTTTTCCCACATATTCCTCTGCAAGCAGCATTCCATTTTCAAAATCCACCGAGATAATAATCTCAAATCACATAAAATTGTGAAGGTGAAAGAAAAGTAGAAATTATTATCCAGGAGCACCCATGGGTAGTTGTGTGGTCATCAGCAGATGTCAGGTTTGCCAGTGGCTCCAGTCATTTTTCTCACAATCATTCACTTTGTTCCTATAAGCATCTTGAGATCACAGACAGCAGAATTCTGCAACCCTGCACACCCTAATTTCTTAAGCTTTAGCAGTAGCTTGCCTGGATAGGGAAATCTAAAGAGTATTTTAAAAACTGAAAAAAAACCTAGTGGTCTGTTTGGGGATTAAAAGTTTTGAGACAAGGATATAGAAAACGAGAACATTGAAAAGGGAAGCCAGTTTGGGGCACAAGATGTGGAATTTGGGTCTAGATATGAAAGATTTTGATGAGCACATAGGATGTCAAAGCAGAACTATTCTACAGTGAGTTTAGATTGGAACTAAAAATATATGTATATAGTTCATATTGGTGGAATGGATGATGTGTATGTATGTTTAGTTATGGGGATCACCTAGAGAAGCAATAGCTTAAAAAACAGGGATATATTGACTGAAAAAAATAAAAAGAGAAACTGAGGACCTCAGTAAGAGGCGATGGAAGTAAAATCTGAGGAAAAATCAGTCAAAACTGAAACTCTAGTATCAAGTAGTATCACGAAAAAGAAGAAAACTCAGTATTATCAGGAGAGAAAAATCAAATTAATTAAATGAAAGAGAAAAGAGGATTGAGTTTTGTGAAAACCTTGAGTGATCGATCAAAGGATACTGTCAATTGTCAAGAAAAAATTCAACCATTATTACCTCCTCATTACGCTAAACTGGAGACAACTTTTGCTCCTTTTAAGAAATGGGATGAAGAAAGCAAAGGAACTGTTCCACTCTGAGTCCATACCACCAGTATGAACAGCCTATCTGCTGCCACTGGAAAATGGGAGTACTTTACACCTGCAGTCCCCCAACTCATAGGCTGCAGACTGCTACCCATCCGTGGCCTGTTAGGAATGGGGTCACATAGCAGCAGGTGAGCAAGCCAAGCTTCCTCTATATTTACAGCTCCTCCCCATGGCTCACATCACCGAATAAGCTCCACCTCCTGTCAGATCAGCAGTGGCATTAGATTCTCACAGAAGCTCAAACCCTACTGTAAACTGCGCATTCAAGGGATCTAGGTTGCGCACTCCTTGTGAGAATCTAATGCCTGATGATCTGAGGTGGAGCTGAGGTGGTGATGCTAGCACTGAGGGGTGGCTGCAAACACAGATTATCATTATTAGAGAGAAGTCTGACTGCGCAATAAATGTAATGTGCTTGAATCATCCGGAAACCATTCCCCCCATCCTTGCCCGTCTGGAAAATCTGTCTTCCATGAAACCGGTCCTTGGAACCAAAAAGGCTGGGACTGCTGCATTACACAAAGCACAGTCAGACCTGCATAGTGCACTATGGGGGTATTTTTGAGAATGGAAAAGCTTCCTGTAACAAACACTTTATGCTCTTCTAGGCAAGCAGAAGGTAATCCAAGGCTGGAAACATGAATGTGAGCCAAAAAGGCAAAGTGACGTTTCCTGGGATTCTGCCGTATATGCTCCCGATCGCTTGGGCACTCTTGCCAAATGCCACTCTTATCTTTTGATGCAGAGCTTATAAAACTGAAATAAAAGGAATGGCTCCTTCCCTT